TGTGACTTGCCCAAGCCCATCCATTGGACTTCCATGGCTGAACAGGAATTTGAACCCTGGTCTCCCAGAGTCCTAACCACTACAACATGGTGGCTCTCTTTTGGTCATAGTACATTACTTTTCCCACCCTCATATCTTGCACTTGTCACTGAAAAGAAAATATTGGCTTAATTTGCAAGTCAGGTTTCTGCAGCCAGTATCCCTGAGTAAATCCCATTGTGGGAAGAAAAAAAAAAGGTTCATAGAGAATAGTAGGAAATATGGATCCATGTTAATGTCCACTTTGTTTCTACGATAGTAAGAAATAGGAGAAAATCTTGGAGGTGAGGGTGGAGCCTGTTTATATATTCAGGAATACATGTTACACTTCTTTCTTTTCCCCCAGAATGGCAAATCTTTCTTTTATTCCTTTAATATCTATTTTTATCCATATGTTAAGACTATGGAAGACCATATATTAAGTCTTTCCAAAGCAGCTTACAGGATATTATCAACTTGGGGGGAGGTGATTCTGATCAGGAAAATTTGGCTGCTTAAAGATAAGAGAACCAACCAAAGTTGTCATCACTTATGTCTCAGAAGATATTATATTTTAATTAATTAGTAAACCCAAATAAGAGGGAGAGAAGGAATTTTGACATAGTACTGATGTTTGTTTTTGGTGATTTTTTTTCCTTTTTTTCCCTTTAAAAAAAAAAGATGGTCTGGCAGTCTGCTTGGAACTTGTGTCTTTGGAAATGGTCTTAGGTCTGTGAAAAATGGAATTGAGGAGTTTTGCAACATCCGTATTCAGTGTCCATGTTCTCCCAGGAGCTATAGTGATGTTACAGTGTACAACCATCTATTATGTAAAAGTAGCAAGTGGAGTGAATGATGTGGCATGATCTGATGCACAACAAGCATCAATGCACATCTGGACACATCTGACTAGGTAGTGCTGGAGAACAATGGAAGTGCTCATTGGGCACCAAAAGTGCCCAGTGTGCATCAGAAGTGCTGAATGGGCATCAGAAGTGCCAAATGCACACTAGAAGTGCCTGAAGCACATCTGAAATTCCCAAATGCACACTAGAAGTGCCTGAAGCATATCTGAAATTCCCAGTGTGCACCAGAACTGCCCAATGTGCACCAGAACTGCCCAGTGCACATCAGAAGTGCCTGATGCGCTTCTGAAATGCCCAATGCCCATCAGAAGTGCCAATGTGCATCTAAAGTACCCAATGCACACCAGAAGTGCCTGATGCACATCTGAAATGCCCAATGCTCATCAGAAGTGCCCAATGCACAACAGAAGTGTCCAATGTGTATCAGAGGTGCTCAATATGCACCTTTCCAACAGGTGTCAGAAGTATCCAATGTGCATCAGAAGTGCCCAGTGCTCATCAGAAGTGACCAATGTGGAACAGAAGTGTCCAATGCCCATCAGAAGTGCCCAATGTGGAACAGAAGTGTGCAATGCCCATCAGAAGTGCCCAATGTGGAACAGAAGTAGCCAGTTTGTATCAGATGTGCTCAGTATGCATCAGAAGTGCCTTGTGTGCATCAGAAATGTGCGGTCCATGTAGGAGCACTCTTGCTGGTGCCCAGATGCCCACACCTTCACAATTCATTAACGGTTTCGCTGTATTTCTGCAACGTTGCTATAGATTCATAAAGTTATGAAATATACACTGTGATGTAGAATCTTGGCTCTTGTTGGTTTAACCCCAAAATGTTAAAAAAATAATGGTGGAAACAACAACGGTTAAAAACATAGCTCGCTGCGGGCTTGTTTTATTGCCAGATTGCATGGTGTATTTTTAAAAAAAAAAAATCCAGAAGGAAAATCTGGAGCTTGTTAAAAAACAAAAATTCATGTCGTTATTCATCACCCTTCCTCTTAACACCCCCTGCCACAAATTCTTTATTAGATTCTTTAACAGCTCCTGTTATATGGTGACTGTAAAGCCATCTGGTCGGCCTACCTCCCCCCCCCTAAATATAAGGCAGGGTGATGGATCAGCTAGGCTTCCCAAATAATTCATGCCCTTCCATATGGAAATTGGGACACGTGTGCCAAGCAACACCAGAGTGTGGTCAAGATGGCAAAAGTCATGAAGAAGGAAGAATACACAAGCTAGGAGAGGCTGCAACAGTTGGCTTTTGCCTGAGCCTCCTGGGAAGAGTAAGATTCCCCCTTCCTCTCCTCCTCCTCCTCTTCTGAGTTAAGCGAGTGCAAACTACTTTTGTACTTTAAACTCTTTGCAGCAATTGAAATAAGCTGAGGACAAAAGTGGAAAGTGGGAGGAGGAGGAGGAGGAACTGGGACATATCAAAAGCAGCTGAAAAAGTGGGAAGGTAGAGGATTAATTGGGACTGTCCCTGCCAAATCAAGACAGTTGGAGAGTATGACAATGTACATCACTGAGACCACAGTTAAAATCACAAGCCAAAGGCAAAGGGCAGAATATGTTGGTGTCTTACATGTGTGCAAGTTCCCTTACAGAAAGACTTCAAGGTTGCAGAAGAGGACTTGTGCATGCCACGTCTTTGTGTATGAAGATGAGTGGTTGGTTGTGAATTCAGTTGCACAACGTTTTCATTTGTGAAAAGGTTTGCAGGAGCCCTGGTGGTGCAGTGGTTAAATGCTGGTACTGCAGCCACAACATTGTGAGTTCGATTGCAGGGCTCCAAGCTTGACTCAACCTTCCATCCTTTTGCAGGTCGGTAAAATGAGCACCCAGCTTGTTTGGGGCAATTGGCTTACAGATTGTAAACTGCTTAGAGTTCACTATGTAGGAATGTAAATGCTAAATGCTATAGCAAAATCGTTCTGGCTTATCACATTGGGGGCAGGATAGGGACGGGATCGCTCCTTATCCTGTCCGTGACCCAAGTGAAAGTGATCACGTGAATCGCTTTCACATGAAAGCGGGCTGAAAAAGTGCTTTCAGCCATCATGGTATTAATGGGTTCTTCCGTTAATGCAAAAGACTGCAAATGACAGAAGAAAGCACTTTCAGCTGACAGCTGAAAGTGCTTTTCATGTGAAATTGATTCGCGTGATCACTTTCACTCACACTTTTTGGGCGGTTGAATGATGGGTTCAGTGCGCTTGCGAATGAAAGTGATTTACACAATCACTTTCACTGGTGCTTCCCTGCCGGGTCAATGCCGGGTCATGTGTGAAAGTCCTTCCCACGATCGGATGGGAAGGACAGGACAGGGATGGGATGATGACGTCCCATCCCTCATGTGAAAATCTCCATTGTGTGACTACTCACAAGGGTGTTCATGCTATGCTTTCTATATGTAGGATTTTGCATCCTATGTCGCAGATGAATAGTGTAAATCTCTCCATGTGTTATGCATTGTGCTGTGCAATTCTTGTTTTGAATGGCAGTGTGGTGTAACAAAACCAAGACACCAAATTTAAAACTGATTTAACAACAAAATGTGAAATGCACATCCTTACTCATTGCACATCTGCACAGAACACAGATATTCTGCCCTGGATTAAAACGTCCTACAGTTTCTTTAGAGGAATTTCTGAAAGCTCAAGATATTAAGAGTCTGTGTCACATAGTGGTTTGAATGTTGAACAGTTGTTGAAACAATTGTGGGAGTGAAAGTGGGTTAATTGTATAGAACAGTGGTTTCCAAACTTTGGTCCTCCAGATGTTTTGGACTTCAACTTCCAGAATTCCTGATGTTGGGCAAACTAGCTGGGGCTTCTGGGAGTTGTTGTCCAAAACATCAGGAGGACCAGAGTTTGGAAAACACTAGTATAGAATAAGCATTTCCCTCCAGGGGTAGTTCTTTTGGCCATGTAGCAAAATACAATAACATCCAAAAGCCACAAAACAGTGATACCTTGATGGGGACAACCAAAATGCACAAAATATGTGCTGCAAGCTTTCGAAGTTCCACTGCCTGCATGAATAAACTGATAACAGCTACATCGTGGCAAAATGCAGGCTTGAGACTAACATTGTCACACACACACACACACACACACACACACACACATTCTCCTATTTGATTTTTAACACCTTTGCATTTCCCGTATTGTTTAGTTTGACTCTCAAATCTGACTTTTATTCTTCAGGAATGAGAAAGACTTGGGTAATAAGTGATGCTGTAAACATGAATTCAGTATTATAGCCTGTTGCTTACCTATGACTCTCTTGAACCTTGCTTCTATTGGGCTTCTCTCATGAAAGTTAGCATCTGGCAAATAAAATCCTACAACGGCTTTATGGATTTAATCAGCTATATCGCAGGAGAAATGGGGAGCAGTTGATTCTATTGCTGATGGTCTGGAAACTTTATGCCTAAGCTTTTTGGCCAAAGATGTTAGCAAAGCAACACCGACGCTGGGAACAGACATGTCAGGCTGTATCCGGTCCCTGTCTGTTTAACATGTATTCACTCATAAGCCTGTTCTGTCTAATTTCGGCATCAGTTTGCAATTATTTTAAATGAAAATTCACAATTTTTGGAGTATACGCACACATATTTAAGCAAGAATAATAGAATCATAGAGTTGGAAGAGACCACAAGGGCCACCTAGTCTAACCCCCTGCCATGCAAGAATCCACAACTAAAGCACTCCTGAAAGATGCACATCCAGCCACTATTTAAAGACCTCCAAAGATGAGACTCCACCACCCTCCAAGGCAGTCTATTCCACTGTATAATAGCTTTTACAGTTAAGAAGTTCTTCCTTTCTTGCAATCCTGTTGATATCTTATGCATGAGTACATCCGTAATACCTGTGTTCATTTCAAGATTGCAGAAGTGAAACAGCGCATGCCATGCCACTGGGCATGCAGAGTTGCATTCCTGGCCAGTGCATATCTCTCTATTGTTATCACTGTTATGTGCCTACAAGTTGTTTCCAACTTATGACAAACTTATCATGAGGTTTTCCTGGCCAGATTTCCTCAGAGGGTGGTTGCTATTGCCTTCCCCTGAGGCCGAGAGCATGTGACTTGCTGAAGGTCACCAAGTGGGTTTCATGGCCAAGCGGGGAATCAAACCCTGCTCATCAGAGTTGCAGTCCAACACTCAAACCACTATGCAACGCTGCCTCTCAGAGGTATCTCTCTACCTCTGCTAAAATGGGCACTAGCCTGCATTCAGTTACACTCTCGGGCGCACAACATCACCATTCCACATAATGCTTGCATAGCAAAATCAGTACATAAATCTTCACGTGGTTGTGGTTGTTGCATGCCTCAAGTCATTTCTGACTTATGGTGACCTAGGGCAAACCTATCACAGAGTTTTCTTGGCAAGATTTATTTAAAGGTTTTTTTGCCTTTGCCTTCCTCTGAGGCTGAGAGAGAGTGACTTGTCCAGGGTCCCAGTGAGTTTCCATGATTGAGTGGGGATTTAAACCCTGGTCTCCTAGAGTTCTAGTCTAACACTCAAACCATTGCTCTCTCTCTCTTTGTTGTTATATGCCTTGAAGTGATTTCTGACTTATAGCTGGGTTAGTTCTGACTTATGGCTGGGTTTTCTTGGCAAGATTTGTTCAGAACAGGTTTGCCATTGCCTTCTTCCAGGGCTGAGAGAGAGTGACATGCCCAGGGTTACCCAGTGGGTTTCCATGGCTGAGTCAGAATTTGAATCCTGGTCCCAGTATGAGTCCTACACTCAAACCAGTACACCACACTGGCTCACATGGAGATTTACACGAAGGAACCTAGATATAGACTCTCAGCCTTTGTATGCAACTAACATTCATATATTTGTACATGATTTTTGAGCCAGGAACAGCATTTCACAATTCGGAACCGCATACAATCCACAGACTAACTATGCCCTCATCCACATAGTACTCCACAAAGTATAAATTAGCTTTGTTTGCTGAAACCCGCAAATGAATGCAAACCAAACCAAATTCTCCCCACCTCCCCTCTCCTGGCTGGAATGCATAAAAGGAAATCATAGCTGATGTTGAGATCTAAAGCTAGGAATGCAAAGAATATTTACAAAATTTCTCCTTGCTCAAAGAGAGAGGCTATGGCAATATGTCAAGATAGCCTCCAGAGAAATTGCAAGCCAACACACAAGCTTTTGCCTCCATTGCACGCACAGGAGGAGCATCTTTCTTGGGTCGATGTTTCTGCAATTTGCAGATGAACATCCCTGTGCAGAAGTGCTGATTTTCCCTTTGGGAAGCAGCGCTCAGATGCATGTCTAGCACTGAACTGGCAAGAAAGAGGCCAGCAATCCTAAATCATAAAGTCTATGCAGCAGCTATTCTCATTTTGCTGAAACACAAGTTATGCAAATATTGCTTTTGCAGCAGCAAAAACTATCGCTGAAAAGAGGAGGGAAAGATCTCGCAGGCAAAGAAAGGATTTCATGCTTCTTAAACACCGACAGTTACATTTCCAATCAGTAGTTCAGAGAGCAGAATGTAGCCTTCCAGATGTTTTCTAGCCCAGATCCCATTAGTTCTTTTCCAGTGCAACATTGTAATGGTGAAGATGGGTGCTTCAGTCCAGAAATACCTGGTGAGCTGAATATTTCTCACCTCAATAGTGCGCAGATGCATATTTTGTGTATGTAGAGTTGCATATGGCTTGGTGAGATGGAGCTTTTGCAAACATTAATGCTCATTACTTGTTGTAGGACTTGTAGATGGCTGGTTTCAGGGTGTAAGATGTTCAGGAAGAAATCCTGATTTACAGTATAATGGAGAAGGAGATATAGGAACAGGGGGAAAATAAAGAAATAGGCAAATCACAAATGCAGAGATAACAAGGATCACATTTCAAACAGAAGAGAACATTCAGCAAATCAATAGATCAGTGCCAGAATTGGAGGCAGAGATGCAGAGATGCAGACCTTCATTTAGTTCATTCTTGCAAATGAGGATGAAACAATGCAGGGTAATGCTGCTGCCATACTGAAGAATCAATGCAGTTGGACACTGTTTTAACTTTCATGGCTCCATCCTATGGAATCCTGGGATTTGTAGTTTGTTGGCGTACCAGAGATCTCTGACAGACAAGGCTAAATAATTCACAAACACTACCAGTCTCCAAATCCCATACCACACCATTGGATGCCATTTGGGTATTGTGAGACACCAGCACTCTTTGGCAGAGAAGGCTAAAGATCTTGTAAAACTTCAACTCCCTGGATTCCATCGGAGGCAGCTACAGCATTGAGCCGTGGTGTTAAAGTGGTGTCAGACTGCATTCATTCTGCAGTGTAGACACAGCCAGAGATGCAAAGCTTCATTTAATTCATTCTTGCCAACGAGATGAAAAAAAAAATATCAGGGTTTCAATCCCTCCCACCAATAATTGCGGTTGCAAGAGTTTTTGCAGATATGTGGTGCTGGTGGTTGGGTTGGGGGACTATATTGTGAAATTGTGTTGCCTCGGCAGCCCGTCAATTGTGTTTTGTATATAAAACACCATGGTCCGATCTCATAGGATGTGACCACGGCGCGGTATCAGAATGCTGTCATCACGGCGTATGAATGGGCACCTGGTTTCCATGTTCAGCGGTAGCCAATTCACAGGTCTGGAATAAGAGATGGGAGCCACTTGAGTTGGGTTTTGATGTCGAACCTGGCTCAGTCAGCTTCCTGTGGCGAAGCCCCCAGGCTGGGTTACACAAACAGCCTTTGGATTTGCAAAGGGCCTGCAGATCTCTCCCCTTGCCAACACGCCTCGCCAGCCCTACTTCCTCCCCACCTCTCCAATCTCGACGGTGGAATTTTTAACAGCCCTGCAGCACAAACTCCTGGGCTCCTTCGGTCCCACAGATGGATCTAGTTAATCGCGCAAGAAAAAGGAGGCATGCGGGCCGGCGGTGGTTAGCAAAGGAGGCGAAAAGCAATCCTGGGGTGTTCAAAGGAGAACAGAAACCCAACCGAACCAAATGCCTTTTCTCATAAAGTTGGTGGTGATGGGGTGCGGGGACCGAAGAGTAATCCTGTGGCATTGCGCGTCTCAAGCCGGGTCCCCTCCAAAGGATGTATACCACCTTCTGGGCTCTGTTGAATGTTACAAACACAATCATGATTCAGGTGCCAGTGTGATGTAGTGGTTTGAGCGTTGGACTATGACTCTGGAGACCAGGATTCACCTCCCTGCTCAACCATAAAAAGCCACTGGCTGACCTTAGGCAAGTCACCCTCTCTCAGCCTCAGGGGATGGCAATGGCAAATTGCCGCTGAAGAAGTGTGACAAGAAAACCCTGTGCCTTCAAGTTGACTCTAGCTTACAATGATCCTATAATGAAGTTCCCTTGACAAGGTTTGCCATTGCCTTCCTCTATGTCTGAGAGAGAGTGACTTGCCCAAGGTCTCCCAGGGAGTTTCCATGGCCGAGTGGGGATTTGAACCTGGATCTGCTGGAGTGCCAATGCCACACTGAAACTACTACACCACACTGCCTATAGTGTACTGCAACTACTATGGTTGTGACTGTGCTATGACTGGAAGCAATGCCTTTTGAGGAACGGCTTAGGAAGCTAGGTATGTTTAGCCTGGAGAAGTGAAGGTTAAGAGGTGATATGATAGCCATGTTTAAATATTTGAAGGGATGTCATATTGAGGATGGAGAGAACTTGTTTTCTGCTGCTCCAGAGAATAGGATCTGGATCAATGGATGCAAACTAGAGGAAAAGAGATTCCACCTAAACATTAAGAAGAACTTCCTGACAGTAAGAGCTGTTCGAAAGTTGAACACACTCTTTCGGAGAGAGGTGGAGTCTCCTTCGTTGGAGGTTTTTAAAGATGGATGGCCATCTGTCCTTGGGATCTATCTCTTCCTACTCAATTCTATACTAACATGCCAGGGAGAAGTGCCACTAGGCATTTCAGCTAGAGAAACAATGACGCATCCATACCACCCTGCATCAATGTTGTCCCTGTGGGTTTCCATGGCTGAGTGGGGATTCGAACCTTGATCTTCCAGAGTCTCAGTCTGACACTAAGAGTGGTCCCGCCACATTTGCTGGTGTTAGGGATGAAGGATCCCCATGAATGTGGCAAAACTGCAAATAAAAAACCAACAACCACTAGTCTTTTAACTTGAGAGAACACTTCTCTAGGACTCTCCCGTTCCTCCAGTGCAACTCTGTGGCCAACATCTGCCAGAAGTTGAGCAAAGAATCATGCTGGAGGACCTGCAAGTGTCAAGAGAAGTGTTTTCTCTAGAAACCTCTAGGTTCTCTATGGTCAACTTCTGGGAGACTTGCACTGGAGGATCTAGAGATTCCTCGAGAGAACGTATTGATCAAATCTGCAAAAGTCAAAGCCGCAAATGTGGAGGGCCAACTGTATATCCTCCTGGGTCTCATAGAAAATATTATTCAAGGGGGGTTTGCCGTCGGCTTTCTTTCAGGCTGAGAGAGTATGACTTGCCCAAGGTCACCCAATGGCTTTCTATGGCTAAACAGGGATTTGAACCCTAGTCTCTCAAGAGTCAAGCTCCAACACTCAAACTAGTAGTACACCATGCTGCTTCTAAAAGTAGGATTTTCTACGCAAGCTTTGTCTGAGGAAAATTTCCATTTCGGGCATCTACACTGTAGAAATAATGCAGTTCAACACCACTTTAGTTGCCTGGCTCCAGAATCCTGGGATTTGTAGTGTTATGAGTCACTAGCGCTCTTTGGCAGAGAAGGTTAAAGACTTTGTAAAACTATAAATCCCAGGATTCCATAGGAGGGAGCTGCAGCACTTAAAATAGTGTCAAACAGCATTCCTGCTTTCTTTTCACCAACAGGCAAAGGCAGTTTTATTCAAGTGAGCTTTTTAATGCTCAAGCAGAGAAGGTTTTTGATGCAGATGCATGTTTTATTCTATTGTTACCTTTTGTCTATTTTTTAATCAGATTTACAGTAGTGTCTAGTGTTTTAATGGAGTCTTTTTAAATTTGTCTTGAACATTGCATAAACATTTTTAATGTGTTATGGAAGCCGCCTTGGGTCCTGGGAGAAAGGCACCATATAAATAAATAAAGTAAGTAAGTAAGTAAGTAAGTAAAAATATTTCTACAATGTGGCTTCACCCACTGCTTTTCTCTTGGGCTGAAAGAATGTGACATGCCCAGGGTTT